CTTTCGTTAACTATTATTATTAAAAAATAATATTATATATAAAAATAAAAAATAAAAAAAAGTTTCAATTTTTTTAAAAAAAAAAAAAAATTTTAAAAAAAAATTAAAAAAAAAAAAAAAAAAAAAAAAATAAATATTTTAAAAAAATAAAAGTATAAGGAAAAATTTTGGGTATTTGGGTTTATTTATTCGAAAGAAGAAGGATAAAAAAAAAAAAAAGAACTATATAATATCTATAAATAAATATTTATACATCCAATTTAAATCTAAATTAAGACAAAATCAAAAAAATTAAAAAAAATAAAAAAAATAAAAACAAAAAAAAAAATAAAAAAAATAGGTTACAAATATTATTATTATTATTTTTTTTTTTTTTTTTAATTTAATGGTTTTTCAGTTAAAATTTTGTTTTTTAAAAAAAATAATTATATTTATATATTTATATTATATTTATGTATGTTTGCGATTATTATTTAATTATTATTACAACTATTCTTAAAAATAAACAAGAAAGATTAATCAAAAATTTTAATTGTTTAAAAGGATATTATTTAAACAAAAAAAAAAAAATAAAAAAAAATAAAAATAATTAGTGAAAAAAAGAAATCAAAAAAAAAATTATTTAAAAAAAATTATTTAAAAAAATTAAAAAAAAAATTAAAAAAAAAAAAGTAATAGTTTTTTTGCCCTATTATTCACACACACAATAATTCACACAATAGTTTTTTTTATTTTTTTATTTTTTTTATTTTTACACATACATACACACACACATACATACACACATACAAACATATAAACATACATATAACAAACTATATAGTATAGTATAGTATAGTTAAAATAATTAGTAATAATATATAAACAAAAAATAAATAGTAATATTAGAAATATTTAAAAAAATAAAATAAAATATTTATCGAAAAAAAAAACAATTATAATAATAGTAACTATAAATGACATACCATGATACATCTTCAGATTTCTATTCACCAAGCTCATCAAGTCACGAAAGCGAAGAAATAAAAAATAATTTTTTTATTAGAATACCTTTTTTAAATGACTCAGTTCCAGCGATTTGGGCAATGTTTGCATTAGCGACAGTATTTGTTATATTAGCTACAGTTTTATCAGCTCATTTAATATATAAACATTTAAAATATTATACACAACCCGACCATCAAAGATATATTGTTAGAATTGTTTTTATGATCCCAATATATGCTATTTATTCACTATTATCATTATTACTTCACGGATATCAAACTTATTTTGCATTGTTAAGAGATTGGTAAATATTAAATAGATAAAGAAAATAGCTATTTTCATTTCAATACTAACTATTTATTTATTAATTATAGTATGAAGCTATGTACTATAATATGTTTTTTGCATTATGTGTTAATTATGGGGGCGGTGATAAAATTTGGTACACATTTTATAGCACATCCACCAATGAGATTACCTATACCGTTGTTTTGTATGGTTAAGCCAAATGAGTGGGTTTTTACAATTTATTTATTGTTTATAAATAATAATAATAGATTACTAATATTTAATTAAAATTTTTAATAGAGGTTTTCTTCAATTTTGTAGAATGGGTATGTTACAATATGTTTTGATTAGACCAGCAATAACACTAGCATCAGCAATTTTGGAAGTGTTTCATTTGTATGATGAAAGTTACTCAATTACAGGTTTTTATTTGTATGCAACAATTATAATCAATATTTCAGTTACAATAGCTTTATATGTTGTAGTATTGTTTTACCAATCTGCTGCAGAGGAGTTAGCACCATATAAACCATTATTAAAATTCACATCAATTAAAATTGTAGTATTTTTCTGTTTCTGGCAATCAGTAGCAATTTCAGGTATGACTAATTTTGGTTGGATTCCAACAGTTGATGGCTGGGACGTAGCTGAGGTTTCAACAGGTTTACAAGTAAGTATAAATTAATTTAATATAATTTAATATAAATATTAATTGATTTTTTTATATTCCATCTAGAACTTTTTAATTTGTTTTGAAATGTTTGGTGTAGCAATTTTACATATTTATGCTTTTCCTTATGAATTATATAGAGTAAGAGCATTCAGTGCAGCACCATTAATCCATAGAGTTGAAATGGGTACAATTTTTAACAATGTAATAAATTCAGTAAGTCAAAAAGATATGGTTAAAGAAACTGTTAAATCATTTAAAGGCACAAAAATTACAGATGGTAAAACCAAACAATATGATGGTCTTAGTGAACAGGTTTTCGACGAATTCCAAGATATAGAAGAGATAGAAATGGGTGATTTCAAGTCATATGAACACGAAGATAATTTTACAGATTTCGAATTAAATGGTGCAACACCATCAAATAATAAAAATATAAAAAATAATAGAATGAATCATCACTTAAATAATATAGGTTCAGCAATTTTAGCAGGTGGTAGTGATCCAAACGATTTAATTACCGATGATCAATTTTTCTCTTTAATGAATAACGATTATACAAATATAGATTTAAGTAATTTGGATCAAGAGGCATTGGAAGAAATGATATTTGACGATGATGACGAAGATATGGTATTCACTGCTAGAAGATAATATATATATAAAAGAAAAAGAAAATCAACAAAAAAATAATAAAAATAAATACAAAAAAAAATAAAATAAAATAAAAGATTTTAAAATAACAAAGATTTGTTATTATTTATTAAACCAAGTTTTAAATATTTGTCACATTTATTTTTAAAGATTTAAAATATATTTTGTGGATGTTATAGTCATTGAATTTAATACCAAAAAAAAAAAAGAAAAAGGTTTTTGATAAAGGAATTAAAAAAATATAGTTTTTTTTTTTATAAAAAAAATTAATAAAGTGTTTTTTATTTATTTTTTTTAGATTTATATTATTATACTGCAGAGAAACCAATATCACCAAATCCAGAGATATTTAGGGAAATTCATAAAACCTAAACCAGAATTAAAGTCAATGAAATTACCATTTTGGAAATCAATTTGCTGTTGTTGTTGTTGTTGTGTTGTTGTGGTGGTATTTGTTGTTGATTAACTTGTTGTTGTTGTTGTTGTTGCAAATATTGTTGTTGTTGTTGAATGAGGTATCTTTGTTGTTGTTGTTGCATATGATATTGTTGTAAGTAGTATTGTTGTTGTTGTTGATCCATTGTTTGTTGCATATATTGTTGTTGCATTTGTTGTTGTAATTGCTGTTGTTGTTGTTGTAATTGGTTTGGTGATTGGGATGTTTGCTGAGTTTGTTGAGTTTGGTCATATGTGGTATATTCTAATTGGCCTACTTGTGGAACAACCGAGTTGTTATTTGGATTAAACATACTAAAGTAATTTTCATAAGATTGATTAATATGATCAACTTTTTGTTTATATGGACACGATTTACATGAGCAAGGGTTGTCAGGATTATCACAGCCTCCGTTTCCTCCACATTTATCTTTAAAGTTTTCATCTTTCTTTAATTCTATTTTAACCATTTCTAATATTTCGCACATTGTTTGGGCATCATTCGCACAGGTATTGATTTTGAAGGCACCATCGGCTCCATCTGGGTCAAGACATTGTAGTTGTTTAAATGCACCAATAAATTCTTTAAATGCATTTTGGAATTCATCTTTGCCATTGATTTGTTTATTCGAACCAGCATCTTCAGAATTTGAGTCTATTTCTGTTTTAATAATGGTACCATTTTCTAATTTAATAAGATCTTCGGTACTATTACTATTACTATTTTCAATATTATTACTATTATCTGTATTGTTACTATTATTACATGGTTTGCTTTTATTTGCTTGAATTAGTTGTATTATATTATTTTCTTTATCATGGTAACAAAGTTTCTTTAATAATCTTTGTTGTTCTTTTTGTTGATGTTCAATTCTATTTAAGGTATCCATTAATGAGTCGGTTGGAGCTCTCTTTCTCTTTTTGGCCTTCTTCTTGACTTGGTCTGGTTTAGAAACAACTCTTATTGGGTGGGTAATTACAGATAAACCTTGGGTTTCTTTACGAGTTCTTGGGTCGACTATTTTAACTTTGGCTCTAAACAACATATCCTCTAATTGACTCGATAGTACTTTAATTCTAAGTTCAATGGTCAACTGGTCCCCTTCTTCGTTGGCACGTGTTTTATATTCTAATGGTTTTACTGTTGCAGAGTCAACTTCTTTGAGGCTTTCACTATCATAAACCAATTGAACCTCTGGGGTTAATTGATGGAAATTTAAACTATTATCCAATAAACTAAGAGTAAGAAGGAATGGATTATTTTTTACAACTACATGTACATTCTTTTGGACACCATTTTTACTAAATTTCTCTTCAACTAAGCAGGTTTGTTGTGTTATTACAATTCTTTTACTTGAGGCACCATTTAATAAACTTGGACTACTTGAAGTGGATGGAGAGTTTAAACTTGAGTTGTTTGAAATAGTAATTGGCGATGAAATAGTCGATGGGGAGTTGGTTAAGTTTGCTGGTGATGCTTGGGTAATTTGTGGTGTATTTGTCGATGATGACGATGTAGTTTTATTCGATGATGCTATATTGATACAGTTAGGTGACATTGTCGATGTTGATGGTGTATTATGCGGTGAGTTATTATAATCTGGCACATTTCTCATTAATTGATTGTTCTGTAAATGGTGAAGATGTGGCACAACATGTTGCATTTGTTGTTGGTTAAGCATCATACCATTATATTGTTGTGGTTGTGTTATCATTCCTTGTTGGTTTGATGAAGAGTTTGTTGCTGATGTGGTAGTTGAATTGCTTGTATTATTATTATAATGGCTTAAGTCAATATTTTGAAAATTAGGATTTACCATTTGTAAACTCATTTTTCCAAAAATTAAAATAAAAAAAAACTATAAAATATAAAAAAAAATATTGTTAAAAAATATTATTATTTATTTTATTGTTATTTAATTTTTTTTTTTTTTTAATACATACTAATTTTTTTATCTAATATTTATATTTATTTTTATTATGTATGGTTGTATATTATCTATAAATTATTATTTGATTTTTGGATTTTTAAATTATATTTATCTTTCTGATTTAATTTTAAA